GAGGAGTAAGGCACAAGGACAAAAGTAATGTTTGTTTTAACTGAATATAAAATTGTACATTAAAAATCCAGAAATGCAGCTACTAAACATGGCCAATGTGAGGTAAGTAAAAAAACAACAACAACCCACAACCCCTCCTATTATTAATGACTACATTTATAAGAAATAAAATTCTTTGCAAAGTTTTCCGCTGCAATGTCTCCTTCTTTCAGTCCACCGTAAGATTCCTACGGTGGAAGGGGGTTAGCTGAACTGCTGCTCACTGGATATTTTCCCCTTTTCAGATCATTCTCTGTAAACTCTACATATGTTTGTGTGGGAAAATCCCAGCAAATCCTCAGAATTGACATTTAAATCACCTTTCTTCTCCATGCTGATGGTTACTTTGAACCTGATCTACATATCTAGAGATGCAGATGAGCTGTCATGTGATTGGCTGATTAGATTTTTTTAGTTAATGAGCATGCTAATAAGTGTGCCTAATAATGTGTCCGGTGAGCTGATCTCCATTTTTCCTCACAGTCGTCTTCATGTCTGTGCCCGTAGCACAGGGTGGCAGTAAAGAATGTAGCACGCAGGATAAAAAGCAAACGAAGAAGAAGCAATGCGCTGATTGGTGGGAAGTTTGGCGGACTTTACCCTCCGCTGTGAAGCAGATATTACTGTTGGCGCTCAGGGGCTCGAACTTCAGCTCAGTGTAAGGCTGACATCGCGGGAGTCTCCACAGACGGTGAGTGAGCTGGTTAAAGTTTCACACACAGAGGACGGTAATGTTAATGCGAGCAGGGAGAAAATATGTGGAGAAATAAATGTGTTTTGCACTTTAACCTTCGTTAAAGCAGATTAGCTCTGCAGGTAGAAGTTTTCACGTTTTGTGTTTTTTAAACTTGGTGATGTGTTCAGGGGTCCTCTCAGTTCAGGTTTAGCCAGCGTGTGCACTGAACAGCTGTTGCTGTCTTTCTGGGTCAGTCAGGAGATGGTAAGAGTAATGAGAAGCATGCGCTGCACAGATACATGACTGTCATGAGGAGAGACAGTCTGATAAAGATCTGGCAACTGGGCATTTCATGGAGCAGTGAGCTTGTTATCTGGGTTACAAAATAACCAGTGATGCGGCTTATTGTGTAGTTCAGTGACCTTTTTGGTCTGTGCGACGGTTCAAAGTTTAGCTGATGAAACCTTATCACCGAATACTGTAGCAGGGGTGGTGTGCTGCTGCATATTCACTCTTTGTCTGAGGCTTTGTGCTGCAATAATGGAGCATCTGTAGGGCCAGTTTGTCAGCAGCGCTGTCTGCATGCTGTATCATCACACACAGGTGTTAATTTCTTTCAAATTGATATTGTTTTTGTTTTTATGTCTGTGTAAAAGTCTCATCTTTTAGATTTCCACTTTGTGAGATCAAGAAAAAAACAGCAATCATGTCTTTATCTAACGCCCGTCATATAAGCAAAGAAGAATGGGAATCGCACAACAAGATGCTGCTGGAGCCGCTAGCAGTCAACGACTCAGAGGTTTGTGTTTAGGGGAGGTAAAACATCAAATTACCTAATAAACGTGTACCTAATAATGGGCCTTTGAGAGTTCCCACCTAACAGAAATCTGTGCGCGTGTGTGTATTCAGGTGTTCTCCATTATTAAAAAAGAGAAGCACAGGCAGACGTACGGTTTGGAGCTGATAGCATCTGAGAACTTTGCCAGCAGAGCTGTTCTTGAAGCGCTGGGTTCCTGTATGAACAACAAATACTCAGAGGGCTATCCTGGCCAGAGGTACAATCTAGTTAAAATCCCAACTGGCTCGATCTCATTAGTGTGGCATTAACATTATGAACATTATTTGTAATGGTGAGCATGATTCACGTGTACAGGTACTACGGTGGTACGGAGCATATCGATGAGCTAGAAAGACTTTGTCAGAAGAGAGCACTGGAGGCCTACAGTCTGGACTCGGAGAAATGGGGTGTCAACGTTCAGCCATACTCGGGTATCAAATATGGATGCATTTAAATCTCAGTCTGACTACACCCGTTAGCATGCAACATCTGCCGTGCTCCTGTCACTCACTGTCATACCGTTTGTGCTTCTCGGTAAGGGTCACCTGCAAACTTCGCCGTCTACACGGCTGTTGTGGAGCCCCACGGCAGGATCATGGGGCTGGATCTTCCAGATGGAGGTCACCTGACGCACGGCTTCATGACTGAGAAGAAAAAAATCTCAGCAACCTCAATCTTCTTTGAGTCCATGCCATACAAGGTATGTATGCGCACGTATGGTCGGGAACCAAAAGGCTCTGTCGGAGTTGGGAACAAATTTCTCAAAGAAGCGATGTGCTCTGGTATTTCCTCACGACAGCTGGGACAAATCACAGAATCAAGGCGGTTATTTGAGTTACTGTTCCCTTCCTATCAGCTCAAAGCAGTTTGGCCATTCTTCTCTGACAGTGACAGGGCTTTTTCATCAGAGAACTGCCGCTCACCCAGCAGTTTCTGAAACACTCAGACCAACAATCATACCACATTAAAAGTCACTTAAAACACCTTTTGTCCCCATTCTAATGCTCAAAGCATGTCGCGCTGATCATGTCTACATACTTAAATTCATTCAATTAAAGTCATAAATATTATAGATATTGCTGTTTAAGGTGGTGTATAAGGTCAAAGATAAGATTTTTGGAAACAAGTGAGCACTAGAAATCACCTCGTGGTGGGAGCACACCATCTGTAACACTAGTGAGTACTTCAGACTCAATGAACTATACATCTGTGAAGTTTGACTGAATCTCCCACGGGTTGTGATGCCATCCATGCTGGAAAGAAAAATATTGTCAGATTCATTAAAATTGACCAGTATCTGATGTGGCAAAATCAAAACAACTAATTTCACTTTGGTTCAAGTTTTATCCAAAGTCCAACTATGTGGTGTTGTCCTCATCTTGTGTATAGCAGGTGTTATATTTTGGTTATGATGTGGTCTGCTGCTTCTCTGTCCAGGTCCATCCAGAGACTGGCTACATCGACTACGACAGGCTGCAGGAAAATGCACGACTCTTCCACCCTAAACTCATCATCGCAGGTAGTTCATCCCTCCTATGTTGTTATCTTTTTACTTTTATGCATCAGTGAGCAGTGACTGGGAACTTTAAATCTGAGGGTGTTTGTCGGGAGAAGAAAATAAAATCTCTACACTTTGTTTTTTTTGTCTTTCTCAGGAACGAGCTGCTATTCTCGCAACCTTGACTATGCCCGCTTGAAGCAGATTGCTAATGAGAACGGTGCCTATCTGATGGGAGACATGGCTCACATAAGTGGATTAGTGGCTGCCGGAGTGGTGCCCTCACCCTTTGAGCATTGTGACATTGTTACCACGACGACGCACAAGACACTGCGTGGCTGCCGTGCTGGGCTTATTTTCTACAGAAAAGGTATAAAAGGGACCTGAAGCTTTTGC